ACAAACAACAAAACGAATACCGTAACATGCTTTTTTACATAAATGAATAACTGGTCCCGTACATAGATATGATCTTCAAGTAATGGGTTAAGCTGTTGATAAGCAAACCGTCCGATTGCTTTTTGAGGAAAGCAATCTCCCAATGAAAACTGATTAATACTACTATATATATAGTGTTATCATATGTATATAATTAGAAATACGTGTATTCCAATTTGTGTAAAGTATGATAAATTTTTTTATTTAGTTGTTTTTTGTCTTGTTTTTTAATATATGGTATACGAGAAAATTACGTTAAAGTATCTTTTGTTTCGTTTTCGATGTTTACGTTATTCACAAATCATGAAACCCGATGTGTGATTAAGAAGTATATAATTATCATATTATGTGCTTGAAGTATTTCCGTGACACCAACTGTTTTGTTAATGATCGGCTTACAGACGCACAATTCGGATTTAGAGCAGACCACAGTACAACAGATGCTATATTTGTCCTACAGTCACTAATAAATCAAACTATCAAACAGAAGAAAAAACTTTACGCAGCCTTTATAGACTACCAAAAGGCTTACGATAAAATTTACCGAAATGGTTTATGGTATAAGATAATCAAAGAAGGAATCAACGGGAAAATTTTAAATATAATTAGATCTATGTACAGTGAGGTGAAATCATGTGTAAAACATTTAAATGAGCTGTCAGACTTCTTCAATTGCGATATTGGATTATTTCAAGGGGAGATAACTTCACCGATACTATTTTCTCTGTTTATCAATGACCTTGAATTAGCCGTGCAAGAAAATATATTTTCCGGAATAGACCTAGAACATATTTCCATTTATCTTATTCTTTTTGCAGACGATTGTATTCTTTTAAGTGACACGCCGGAAGGCCTCCAATCACATTTAAATTTATTGTCGGACTACTGTGAAAAATGGAAATTGACTGTTAACATAGATAAGACGAAAATAATGGTGTTTCGAAAAGGTGGCCGATTAGCAGAAATCGAACAATGGACGTATAAAGGTATTAAAATAGATGTGGTAGAATCGTTTACTTATTTGGGATTTATGGTCAGTACTGGCGGTTCATTCAAGCGTGGCATAGACACTTTATCTGGTAAAGCCGGGAAAGCTGTGCACTCACTATATACATTAACTAGAGGCATGGATATACCAATTAACATTCAATTCCACTTATTCGATTCATACGTGTCCCCAATCTTATGCTATTCGTCCGAAATATGGGGATTTTCAAAGGCTGATACAATTGAAAGAGTTCATAGGAAATTTATTAAAAGTGTCTTGAACGTTAAAATGTCCACAAGCAATCTAGCGATATATGGCGAAACAGGAAGAACGCCTCTTTTTATAAATTGGAGTATAAGGATTATTAAATATTGGTTTAAACTTGTTAACAATAACGTAAACTGTATATTACAAAATGTGTATAACAATATGTTTTTGTGGTGTGAAAAAGGAGAAAATAATTGGCTGTTTAAAGTTAAGACATTACTAAATAGAATAGGATTTGGCGAGGTGTGGTTATTTCCATCATCAGTTGAGCCAAGATTATTTATACCTACATTGAGATTAAGACTGATGGACATTTACATTTCAGAGTGGCGGGCTAAAGTGAACGGTAGCCCAAGTCTGATATTTTTCAGGGAAATTAAAGAAGAGTTTGAACTGTCAAAATATCTTTTAATAATTGAAAATAAGAAACATAGACAATATTTATCAAAGCTTAGAATGTCATCTCATTGGCTAAATATTGAATACGGGCGACATAGAAATATAGAAAGACAAAATAGACTGTGTGAATTATGCCAACAATGTACAATAGAAGATGAATATCATTTTGTCATGGAATGTAGTTTTTATAATACATTACGTATTAGGTATATCCCAAGATATTTCCGTGTTAGACCAAGTATGGTAAAACTTGTTGAACTGATGAAAACTGAGAGTAAACCATTGCTTTATAAAATGTCAGTGTATATAAAACATGCTTTCCATAAACGACAAGAATTTTTAAATGCCGCGTAGAGGAAGAACTATACATGTATTGCATTTACTAATATCCGGAAAGAGTAATTTATTATCAGTAACATTTTTTGTTAATCGATTTATGTGATATCTAAACTTTAGAAACACTCTCTTTGATTATGTAACTTGTATAAAATTATGTGTTTTAACTATGTCATTGTTGTCACAAATGTATTTATATATTGGTTGATGTCGATGTGCTGTATATGCATAAGACTGAATAAATTTTCTGTTCTGTTCTGTTCTGTTCTGTTAATGGTAACTGATATTTAAAAATTTTCACGAGTAATATAAAACAGTGTCTGCCACATGACCGCATTAACGCGAATATAGGTTTGTTTACAAAATAGTTTTCTGATCCGCCCATGCAATTATATAGCGTCCATACCTATAGTCTGTTTTAAAAAAAAACTTTATTTGAAATATTTAAATGCATCGTTACTGTTAATACATATATTTTTGTCATGGAAAGACGTATACATATATATCAGGATTTTGGTGCACATGAATTTGTGTTTTGCTCAAATAGTGTTTATATGTGCATTCATTAAATAGTATCAATGATTATACTGTACATACTTTAAAGGCTTAAACAATTATGTTTCCTGTTGTATAGTATTTTGTTTTGCTTTAAAAGTTAGTTTATGCAGATACTTAAAATAAATCTATTCATAATGGAATCTTTTTAAAATGTTTCCCTGGCATAATCTAGATTTTGTAAACTTCTCTTTTTTCTTCAATTATTTACTTACATTTTGAGATTGTAAATTTCTTGAGGAGCATCATAACATTAAAGATACCAAATCAATTTAGAGCTATCTTATCTTACATCAAATCTTAATATCTAAGAGTATGTATTGGAATATATTATTGTTATACATACAAACAGTCTGATTAAGAAATAAGAGAAAATTGTTTAAATTTACCAACAACCAACATTTTTGCTTTGAGCAAAATTTTTCTGTGACATGAAAGTGTATTATTTTCTTTGTCTTTTTTCCTTAGTTGTTATCCCTACAAATGTAAAATGTTCAGGGTTCAGTATATCGCGGAAGGGGGATGTCACGGAAGTAGTACTAGGTTTAACTATGCATGCCTACATAACTTACCTGTCGTCGTCGGTCATGCGTATTGATACATGCTTAGTATTCCCTAATGGGTAATTGTATTGCGGCATGGCGGATGGCAATTGGTTTATTTTACAATGGTACGCAAGGGATTAAAAAGTAAATGATAATGATAATTAGTTATCCGTTCTTAATTTTGTATTACAAGCTAATGCTTATTCTATCAATGTTTAAACGTACGCTAAATTCCTTGATCAGTTTTCTGATGGTATCCGTTAATAATGTTATCTTTTCTTCTGTAGCTGTAGGTGTAACCGTGTGCAAACTATTTGAAACATACAGTAGAAAATGAATACGACTATCGATAACTATCTTAGCCCCGAGCTAATATATGTCACTCCTCTTTTGTTGTTCTTAAGTGGAGATATTGAAATAAATCCGGGTCCAGGCGAATCTAATGCTGATTGTCTATCTATCCTTAGTCAAAATATAAGAAGCATTAGGAATAAGTTAAATTACGTCAAAGATAACTGGCTTGATTTTGATATACTCTGCTTCACAGAGACACAGCTTGATAATATAGTGTCGAACGACGACATTAAACTAGATAATTGTTCCACGTTTTTATTTTATACTTTATACTTTATATTAATCACTTTCGAGTCCGCTTCCTGGAACCAACCAGTACAGGTGTCAAATGAAGAAACATGGTCGTCACCCGAGTAGGGCTCGGACCCATGATCTATGGGTTGAGAGGCAGACATCTTAACCATCAGGCCACCGCTCCATTTAACCTTGACGTATAAAATTGGCATGACTTACTCAGTGCATGCGGCCATGGCTGTGTCACGATCTGGAATCCGATAATTGACCTCACATTCGCACATGTCCCCATAGAAATCAGGTTCACATTTACACGTGCCGCACGGGTCAAACGTTCCACGATGGTTACATTGCGGATGTTTCGGGTCTAAAATCTTGAAAAATCATTAAACTGGATCTGTGTTTATGAGTAATAGAAAGAGCACCGAAACACGAGGCTATCTGATTTGTACGAGGGGGCGTAGCCCCCGAGTATTAATCAGATTTCCGAGTGTTTTGGTGTTCTTTCTCTTTTGTATCATAGTCAAACATAAAAGCACGTTCCCTGTTGTCACAATATGAAACCCCGGCAAAAATGGACCAATGAACGAACATCTGAATATGATATTTCTGTCGCTTTCCCTTTCTCTGCCGTCACAATATGTAAACCCCAGCAAAAATGAGCCAATCAATGGGCATGCTCTGGAGTGCGGGTAACTAATACCCGCACTCCAGTTAACGCACTGTGCATGTATATGTATACGATTTAACCTGACACATTTTCAACAGAAAGGTCTCCAAACTATGATACAAGTAAATAATAAATTTACTAAAAGCAAAAACATTTCTTTAACTCATTTTGTTTCATTCTGATATTAAATAAAACTTTTTATGATACATAATTTGCAATTACTACAATAAAAAATGACCTGTTTGTTACGTCCAGGATGTATGACCACGTTGTCTATTATAAGGGGTACCTATGTAGTAGTTAGTCATGTTAAATGGGGACGCCCGTATAATGTCTTTTAGCAATAAAACTTCAGATATTTGTCTTCAATCTAATAAAACCTTGTTCCAGCCACATCACTACACTTACAACGAAGAAATATATAATTAAATAGTCTATGTTATATGCTTAGGCGAGCAATTGTTACAAATGAAACTGATTCATACGAATATATACAAAACATAACATTATTTCATTCAACAATTCAGTAAAGTCAGGAAAGAGCCTATACGAATATAAAATACCCAAAATCAAGACTGTGTAAAATGAAAAAGAATCATCTTATAGTGTAACGCTAACATTTAGCGCGTCTTTACACGAACGTGCAGTACCATATTTACGGAGTCGCAAAAGCAGCACGGACATGTGATAAACAATTATACCAGTTTAAAGATATACAAATTTATTCAAAGTATAAAGGTAGAGGCAAGTAAACAAAATTCTTTGAACATGCCTAAAATAGTTCACAATGGTGCAATAAAAGGAAAGAAAAAAACGTAATTATATCCGTTTATTTAAGCCTCGTGATAGTTATGGTAAGTCATGGTTAATGGGTGGCGTCCGTATAATGTTTTTGGCGATAAATACGGAATAATGTATTGTAGTAGCTTTCTGAGGCTTTCAAGAAATAATTTCATAATTGACGGATAAATACGTACTTTTTGCAAAACCTGCCACACCTTTAATAATTTTGATTCCCGTTTGACAATGCTACGTTATACACAGCTAAAATCCAGCTTAAATCGGAACCAACGTCAAAAATAGTCCGGCACTTCCATATATGGAACCATATGTGTCACTAACATAAAATTAATTGTCCTTATCCGTTGAAGCGTATTCGCATTCAAGATTTGCATGTATCTTAGAGACAAAATATATAGGTATATAATCAAACTTAAGATATTTTTATTAAATCTTATATGGCCCTTGTTCAAGCCACTTCACTGCACGTACCATGAAGAAATATATGTATTCTTAACATGCTCTTAAACCATTATCCAATTGCTATAAAATTGATGTTTTCCCTTTCTAAAGAAATAAATAATTATTCGCTTCTGAGGCATAATGTGCCTTTAAGCATATCAATGGAATATAGTCGAACAAGTACACGGAATTATAAACTATATAAGACAAGCAAATTTGTCCCATATTGTACTGGACAATTTTTCAATGTCTAGCTTAAAATGAAAAAATGATAAGAAACGTCAGTCAGGATAAATGCCGCTGATGGCGTTCATGGAAAAGGGAATAACATACGATACTACAGTGTCCAATATTGAAAACATAATTGTAAGTCATGTGTTGCAGTTCAAAACCAACGATTACATGAAAGTAGTTTGAATAGCATAAAATGAAATGCGAACCGGTATTGAGATTGTTTAATGCAAATTTCTTGTAATGGTTAAATTCATTTCAAATGAACGCTGTCAATTGATAAATTTTGCTGCAAGACGGGCTGCATATGATTAAAGAAATATCGACAAAAATACCTTCGAAATTTCAGGCGCTGCCTTTACTTAATTAATAGAAAACGTGAGTATACATCCTGTTTCCTACCACAAGTACATTTGCATGATGTTCTTAATAATAGTACAACAGCAACAACAAACAGACCAAAATCATGAAACAGTTAGACAGAATTATGAAAGGTATTTTTACCGTTTGAATCCGTAATATCATACATGCTACAATTCTCAGATAGAAAAGCATCCTTCCTCAGACACCAAGCTTCTTTTCAGACACCAAACTTCTTTTCAGACACCAAACTTCTTTTCACCAAGCTACTGTATGAACACAAATTTCAGAAAAACAATCTTCGTATAAATACGAATTTCTATTAAAACACGTTTCTATTGTATCCCTGTAATCTAGCTGCGTTTATCATATTAAATGATCATCCCATTAAATTTCTATAATGTTAGTTTAATTTATATATTCTGATCGAAATAATTCTGCACTACTTATTTTATCTGTTGCCACACAAAAAATGCCTATCACGTATACTTCAGTGTATAGGAGGCAGTACACAGTTTCGGCTGTTTAGTTTCGAATTGGCCAGGGTGGAATTTACAAATAAGAGACAGTTTTGAAATTGAAGTGGATATTTGAGGTTCTAAATGTTTATAGTTACTATATTTCAAGTTTCAATGACTAGTATTGTGTTTCAGTTATTTAGTAAAATTGAATTTAGTGGCGTTGACCCTTGTTTTTATGAGAGAGTACCTGTCGGATGCGAACGTGCGGTTTCTGAAGCTAGTCGGTGAATCAGCTCTTCAATTTAAAGGGTATGCAGAAGACTTAGAATAGTGAAAAAAGTAGGTGGATGGCACCCTGTTTGGATGTTATTTTCAGATTGTGCATTGTTTAAGAAGGAAGAAACACTATAGCTTGTGACTTAAGTTTTTGACGTTAATATATTGTTGTATTTTGCGAATAGGGATAATCGGCTTATTTTGTCGTTGATTTTCGCGACCAAAACAATCAAAAACACAGGGCTGTGTGCCAGAAAACTAGAAGGTGGACATGTATTTTTAATTGTTTGCTGTGAGATACATATATATATGTTAAATATGAAATGCATTTATTTCAGGTGTGTGATTACAGACTTGTGTGTGAGGTTTTGATTGTGGCGCAGTCAGTTGTTTGCCGAGAAGCCTTGAAAACTGTGTATTGCCCCCATATATGAAAAGTAAAGGAAAATGATATTTACTTCCACATGTACAGTATCCTACACGCAGTTCATGTTTACACTTGTTTATAATTTGGCACTTGGAATCTTTTATGAGTAATTCATTCCATACTCTATAACAGCATGAACTCAAGGTTAAACATTCCACGGAACATAGAAAATTCAGGTATATATACTACCTATTAGCCGGAATTATCAGTCTGGCGTTCCATACGAAATGTATATCACTAATTTTTAATAACTACGCACATATCTGTACGAGTATTTTCTACGCCAGAAATAAATGTCTCTGATGGAATTATTATTATGTTCTGTTGTGATATCGCTATTAATTCTGAAATTTCAAATGCAACACTTACATTTTTCTATATATGATACACATTGCATTTTCATTTTTGTCCGGTTAAAATAATTTTTGTCAGTTGAATGATTAGCCATTCAGTAAACACGTACAGTTTTGCGCGGTCATAAAGTTCCCCACTAAGGGAGGGACAAACGTCAAAATAATCTATCGCCGCATGGCTGAATGGTACAATGAAAGAACAAATGAACCGGAATAAATGGGGATTGCATCGAAACATAATGTTGAAACAATCTTAAAATCTGTGAGTTAAACTCCGAGTTCTATGAACTTGTTGAGCTCCCCTCGTATATGTACAAAAGTCAAAATGACGCTTTCAAAATGATCGATAGACACTTGCATGCTATACTTCTACTTATGGTGCCATACACCATGTTCTTGCACCTAAGTATATATTTAAAAAGAAAAAAATGAATTTATAGGACAGGTACTTTGCATGTTAGTCCCCATGTCAATTATGTCATTTATATAAAAGTAGAGTTATACGTCATTAGTTTTGCTTTTGTTATTGTTTTTTGTTCTAATTTTGTTTACTGAATATTTTGAAAACAAGCTTTCAATCATTAAATATGTCACACAATTTGTTACATCTTGACCCTTGTCGGACAATATGAATGCAGTTTAAACTCTTTAAGCAGCTGTATGCTAAATATTACAAGTTCACAACTTCTTCGGATACATTCGCCCATTTCTGTATCAGATACCTATATAATATGAAGTAGTAGACTTATAGCCTTTTCCCGTTGTGTCATCCTGTAATTTCAACAAACAGCATAAATTTTTTAGCCGATAACCACCACAGGTGGCAGTATCAGTGTTTGGACACCCCACCCCTATCTGCCCCTGGACCCCTACTACAACCCTGAAAAAAAAATAATTCAACACTCTAAGGCCTACTATAAGTTACCAAATACAAAACCACCGATGAAATTATAAAAAAAAAATTTCCACTATCAAAATTATAGTTATAGAAAGGTGAAAAGCCTACTATATGTTCATTTGCCAAAAATTATTTTTTTTCAGGGTTGTAGTAGGGTCCAGGGGCAGATAGGTGTGGGGTGTCCAAACACTGATACTGCCACCTGTGATAACCACCGCACTCAAAGTTAAGCGAATTCATACATGTAATCGACAAAATGTGAAAAAAGTACGGAGAATACTTTATCAGCTAATGTTCTAAATTTAGCTGATTTCGTAATGGGAAACCCGAGTGCTATTTTCATCACAATTGAATAAAATACATGTTAGTTTCGATTTAATCTAAACTTGTCTAAAACATCTTGCATTTTCTTTTTTTTTTCGGAGATAAATAGGTAAGAAAATATTTTATCATGAGATCTCTATAATGTATTATCGACAGTTATGTTTCATTTTAAATTCCATTTACAAATTTTACCTAAACAAATGATCACAACTAAAAATATGTACAGATAAGACAAAAAAACAAAAATTAATACATGTATTCATTTTCCATATTATGTAATGGTATTTTCTGTTTTAAGAATTTATTAAGATATGTTTTGTTACATTTAAGTGGGAGATAAAATGATGGAACACTTTTCATCACAGTCAGTAATAGTAGTCAACAAACCCAAAGATAACGGTAAATCATACTTCATACTTCATTTAAATTTGAACCATGCAGAAAAACTACCTGTATTTATTAATTAGCACAAGCTTGCTTTGAAGGAAAAATGCATACATGTAAATTTATTGATGTAGTACGCCAATACCTGAATAGGCCTTTCTCAAATTATATGCATGCTTTACATTCCATCACCAGAGAGAGGCTAACAGGGCATGAATGTAAACAAATAATGTCTGACCTGATAAGCCCTAGTGTGTTAAACTTACTTGGGAAATCTCATTTTTATTGTTGTGTTCCACTCTGTTATACCAATTCTAAATATGATTATACGGTTAATTTTCATAAAATACGTAAGGATGTGAGTTAAATAAAGCAGGGATTGTGAAAATAAGATGGGATGAATGAGAACATTTCGAGGTAAAATTCCATTGTTGTTTTCTTTTTTAAACTAAGCTAGATGTATTACTACTTACATCAATTTCTCTGATTTCTCATTGTTTTAAATGTTTTATTTAATTATTAACATAATAAAATGTTTTGTTAATAAATTTCATTTAAATATCACACTTATGATTAATCTAAATCAATACCGTTTTTATACTAAAAAGCAATAACAGTTATTTTGTATACCATTTCAGATCAATAAGACAAACAATTTTCCCCTTTTTTGAACTTTTCACACAAAAAATTTTAAGTCATGGAACAAATTAAAAATATTTCGAAAGAATAATTACCCTCTTGGTTAAAGGGAAGAAAAACAGACCAAAGATAACATAAGATGTTTTTGCCAAGAAAAAGGTAATCAAAATTTAAATTTTTCATTTAAAAAAAAAAGCTAAAAAAAAAAACATAAAATGCATTTAAAAATAAATTTTTGAATTTTAAAAAAACCATAATTCTTGTTACATTTCATAAAAAAATGTAATTTTTTTTCAGTTTTCCATTGATAACAGTATTGAACAAATTTTGACAATGTATTTGAATCCCCTTTTAATGTTCCCTCCTCAGGGCTTTTGCAGAACAAGATGAAAAAAGAACCATCAATTATTTCAAAGAAAGTTGGGAAAAAAAAAACAGTGATTATGAACTTTTTACAAACAACTTTAAAAATGAACATTGCAATAGCTGTTATAAATTTTCAAAACATATATAATTTCTTTACATTTTTTCAATGTTTTAAACATCAGCAAAAAACAAAGGAGCTTTTAATTATGAAGCAATGCAAAACAAACAGTTTTGACTGATAGATAAAAATAATTGTAAACAAACAAAAATGTATTTTTTGCAATATTTTAAAGGACAATTTTAATTTCTGTTGGTCTTAATTCAAAAAAATAATTTTAAATAAAAATCATGCATACATTGTTTTAAAAACATTACTTTTTGTTTAACATATGCTTTGTTACATATTATGGGACATGCGCAGGAATATGTAACATGGTAGATGAATTGATTTAATATTGTGTCCCTTATTGCACAATATACTTTTGAGTAAATTTTTGGAATGTTAAAAGAAACTTGAAGCTAGACTTTTTTTCTAATACCCCGACTGCGGGTCCTCACTTTTTTTCTGCAATTTTCAGCCCCCCTAAGTAAAGAAATTCGGGGGTTGTTAGCCAGGCAAATCTTCAGGAATGACCCCAATGTTTTGTTTTACAGCTAGACAGGCTTCCAAAAAAAATGACCACTTTATTAAATTTGGACAAAGGACAATCCCAAAAGCAATGAACTTCACCCTCAAAGATTTACTGATATTTGCAATTAAATATTTAATTTATTTCTTGTTTTTTAAACTGAAATAAAAAAACATTGATAATATAATTTTTACTTTCGTTATTTTACATAAAGTTTTTTTTCCATTGCGTAAAAAAATCTTTGGGTTTAAGATACTAAAAACCTTTGAAAGATACGACGGGGGTGGGATAGCTAAACAAAATTTTTAAAATTTTTTGTAAAGCGTCTGTAAATTTAACCAGTTACAACAGCACCAAAATTTTTTTGATTTTAAAAATCAAAGTGAAAAACTTATTGTTTTTTTTTAATGGCAAAATTTGGGGGAAGTAGGTACGAATTCGGCATCCAACGTTACATCATTATCATTAATTTGCTTTATACTTCTTGACCAAATGTGTTGGTAACAATAAAAACTGATACACAATAATGTCTGTATAAGTTGAAAAAGAGTCAACCTTTAAATTTAATATTTTGACACGAATTTTAGAAATTATTTGGGGAATATCAAAAAATTTAAATTCATTTTTCAGGTCTTGAATACATTTATTTTTCATGTATAAGCGAAAATAACCTTTTTGGATTTTTTATTCAAGAAAGTTTTTTGTAATTTTAAATAAACCCTCTATAATTATATAGAACTGCAGTATTTAAAAACTGTAAATTTTCCCGGCCATACATCCTGATATGTTTACATAGAACAGATACTGGAGCTTGCCCTGTTAGCCTCGTTTTGAGAAATCTATGAATATGTATGAGGCAATATTAAGAAGGGTCTATCTTACTACTTAGATCATAAGCATTGATTCAAAATAGCATCTGAATTGGCTTATATGAATTTTCTAACCATTTGTTTACAAAGTTTATTATAACATATATAAGACCACACACACAATTTTTACAGTACAGTACACCTACAGATGGGTGTAATATGCATGATGTGCCACAGAAAAGTAGCCTCAATTTTTCGGAAGGGCAAGTAATAAAAAAGTTACAATTTAAACTATATAGCAATAGCAAAGGAATCAAAGGTTGCCTCAATACTAAATTGCATCAAAAATTCATCTATGCATGATAAAATAAGCTCCATGAGATGCCAAAACTCACCAGATGGACCTGAAGTTGGTGTCTTATCCTTCCTTCTTTCTCCTTCAATAGCAGAGAATAAGGTGGTCTTTGATGTTGACCTATTACACTATTTGGAGGAATGAATACCGGAGAGCGGGGCAACATATCTTTCGTACCCTTCTCTTTTGATTTGTCATTATGCACAATTTTAACCGTTCTGTCTGGGCTGACACAGGCTTTTTTGGGTGGAGATGGCCAGCCTTCACTGTCCGAAGTGTCATAACGTGTAGTAGGGCTGGATAAAATAATAAAATAACATTATATATAAATCATAAACTTAATTTCAGGGGGTAAAATGATTCCATGATCAAAACTCAATGTACGTAGGCTATATACAGGGATATGGCATTAGTTCTTGCCTTTGCCGTGCAGATCTCTCTGTGAATAAAACTTGTGACCTATGGATGGTCTTTATGTACCTTACTGATCTAATTCAGTGAGAAGACACTTTAATGACCAAAGCCATATTTGTCACATATTACATTCTGAATTATAAATTAGTATTTTACTGACATATTCATGCTGTTAGCTTACTGTGGTGAACAAGCATCCCCCGAATCTCTCTATATATATACACACAAAGTTTTCTTTGAACTGGATTGAAACGTAAGGAAGAAGCTGAATACACAGTCTACAATAATTGAAATACTTCAAAGCTAATAAAAGTGCCATAACTTAAAATACATTGACTAATAGGCACATGTCTGCTTCATTTTAAAGCCATATACCAAAGCATAATAGCTCCAATTTGAACCACCCTAACATAAATACCTATCTACTGAATAAAATTGCATAATATATTTACATTCGTTTTTTTTTTCTGTCAGGTCAGCTTCAGCATCTGTGGTATTGACATCCGTTTCCATTTCAGCTTTTTTCAGTTTTTCTCTTGCCTTCTCATAAGTATCTGTTCAAATGAAGCAGTGCTTTTAA